ACTTTTTTCCTGTTGGAAAATAGATCTGGAGTGTGCAGGAATATCTGGAGTGCTGCTGAATATGAGTAACGTGGCAGGATTAAAGAGATCTTTTATTGATGTGGTCTGGAGCTAAACTTGGAGAAGAAAAGCACTGAAAATCAGATTTTTTCTCTCCTGTGTTGTGTATTCATACACTGCTTACTAAAGGCCAGATCCACACAGGTATTTGATTAAATATTCTGTAATAAACTAAATTACATTTAATATTGTTAAACCTAAATATTCTGTAAATTTAATATTGTGAAACCAAGTCTTAAGGAACAAAAAACCCCTCTGCTTATTCATGTAATCTCTTTTCTCCAGAGCCATATTAAATTCCAATTTCCAGTCTTGCACAGGTGAGGGAGAGATTTAAACTGGTTGTAGATGATGGATAAAAGCTGTTCCAAACTCAACTTTTGGCCATCCAGAGCTTTGGCAAAGTGCAGTTCTTTGAGGAGATGGAAAACTGACAGAAGGGAATCAGAAATTTAAACTCATTAATGGATTTTGAGACATAATAAATTCATTTCTGCATGGAGGAAATCCATCCATCCATCCATCATCCATCCATCATCCATCCATCATCCATCCATCATCCTTCCATCCATCCATCATCCATCCATCCATCATCCATCCATCCATCCATCCATCATCCTTCCATCCATCATCCATCCATCTATCCATCAATCATCCATCCATCCATCCATCCATCCTTCCATCATCCATCCATCATCCATCCATCCATCCACCCATCCATCCATCATCCATCATCCTTCCATCCATCCATCATCCATCCATCCATCATCCATCCATCATCCATCCATCATCCATCCATCCATCCATCATTCATCCATCCATCATCCATCCATCCATCCATCCATCCATCATCCATCCATCCATCATCCATCCATGATGGAGGGATTGTGAATTTTAATGTAAATGTCAGTTTGAGGTGGGAAAGGAACGATGCATTTTTCATTCCGTGTTTCCTCTTCACAAATCCTTCACTCCAGTGATACTTCCCAGGTTTATCATGTTCATCAGGGATTATTTTCTTTCTGAAGTCACAGTTTGGTGTAGTCAGACACCTCCAGTCTCACAGCCCTTTCCATCACACCTCCCATGCCAACATCATCCCCCGAGCGAAATGATGTTGTGCTTTACAAGATCTCAGATAAAGAACTCTGTAATTTCTTGTAATTTAGGCCAAATTTCATTCCAAGTGGGGCTGTGGGTGCGGCTGAAGGAAATGTGTGGTGTTTCAAAATCCGGTTGATGAGTTCAGTTTGATTCTGGCGCTGTTATTCCTTGCAGCTGTCTGTCAGCATAGTGTAAAATCCATTTTTCTGTTGTGCTAATAATAACACGCTGTGAGGCAAAAAGTTAAAAAAATAGAGACTTAACTCAGCAGGAAAGAGAAGATAAAGCTTCCACAGCAAAGAGTTTGAAATTTGTAAATCTGCAGTAATTTTTTGGGGGGGGGAGTTTAATTTGTCAAAATGTTTGCTTTCCCCCACATTTTTATTTTAAATGTATCTTTGTTTCCTAAAGAAAATTATGGGATTTGCTTTTAAAATTTGTTCCGTCCACTTCTTCACTGGCTGGGTTTTGCAGGAATGTCTCTAGAGGAGAGCAGGAGAATGGGGGATCCAGGGAGCTCTTTCTGCCCTTTTAGCCAAGTTGAATTTCCTTTTTGTGGCCTTTGGGATTTGTGGTGCTGTCAGGTGTTGGGTTTTGGCTTTTCAGCACAGAAAATACCTTTCTGCCTGTGCCTGTGGAACTCTCATGTCCCCAAGTGCTATTTAACAAGCTAAACAGAAGCATTTGCAATTATCTAATAGCACCTGAAAATTGCTTACTGAATGACAGCAGGAAGTTTCATTTGCATTCCATATCTGATGTTCAATCTGCTAATCCTCCACTGAGCCTGCCAGGAAAAACAATGTCGACAGACTCGAATTTTATTAAAATCAGAAAGCAGGGATGCTGCTTCCTACTTTTGGATCACACCCTGCAAGGTTCCAACCTATTTGAATTAGTTCAGCCATTGTGTTCCTGGTTATTTTCTTGAAACGGGTTTTAGTCACAGGTTTTTTAATAGCATCAGCCCTTCCCTTTTGGATTGTCTTCCCTCCCCCAGGAAAGCTGGAGCTCCCTGTTTGCTCTTGTTTATATAAGTTAATCTTCCATGTTGTGACAGTTTTCCCCCTTCATTAATGAGAGCTCCTAATTGGGCCTAATGAAACATTTACTCAGCTGCTAGATAATATTATCTGTGAGCACAACAGAGATAAGGCACTGTGAAGAAAATAAGCTTTTGAAAAGATTCTGGGTGAGATATGAAAGCCATTTTTGGGCCAATATTTTCTTATTTGATTTGAGAACGCCCTTGTGGTGCAGCTGTGTAACCAAGCCCATGGCAAACAACATCCATTATTTATTGGCCTGCTTGGCAAACAAGGACACCTTTGACGACTTCAGATTGGGAGGTCGATTTACTGAGCCTTCCCTCCAGCCAGAGAGCCTCTTTTTGTATTTATAGTCCCTAAAATTTTCCATCTGGCACGAGGGAAAGCGATAGGTACCTGGGGGAGGGCAGCAGGAGAGAGTCTGGGTCTGTAGCAAACTGGCACAAGTGGAATTGTGCCTTTTATTTGCTGTCCAGGTGCTTCAGATCCAGTTACAGCCCCTTAAAGACAGAGTTTCCTTCAGCCAGCAGCAAATACAGGACAAGGAGAGACATCTTGGAAATGTTGGAATGATTCATTTCCCTCCCTTCCCGCAGAGTAAAATGGAAAGGATTTTAAAATGCTTGAAATACACTGAGTTTTTGTGAAATTCTCGATCAAAAATGGGTTGCTTGAGGTGTTCCAAGGATTTAAGTGTCCCAGTCCAGGTTGGAAGGGCTTGGAGCAAGCTGAAGGTGTGGAAGTGCAAGGGAGGTGGAACTGGATGAGCTTTAAAGTCCCTTCCAACCCAAACCATCCTGGAATTCCAGGATGAACACAGTTATTTGCAAGGGATCCAGGAAGGACTCGAGGCACAAAAAGGACTCTTCTCATCTTGTTACCAACATCACTCAGGCAGTGTGGATTAAGGAGCCCTCTTGGAGTCAGGAAAACGGGATCCCTGATGGCGCAGGGGCACAAGGATGAGGTCATTGGGATCAGGAATGTGCGGCTCTGGGAATTGCGGCCTACTTGGAATTCCAGGAGTTGGATGGGCTCCACACATTGGGGGGCACCTGTTTGTTCATCAGCCTCTCACTGGGAGGCTGCGGGTTTGTTTTGCTCTCTTGGGTTCCCTTGCTGCTGATTTCTGCTTCGATTTTGGGCAGAACTCGTGTGGAAAAGTTGGGTTATCTCTGGAATGGGAATATTCAGTCGCGTGGTGCCACCCTGGTCGTTCCCTCAGTAATGATTTTCCTGGAGGAAACTCATCCTCAGGGATGGACTGAGCCTCGTTCCTTCACTTTCTGTCTTTTATTTGTCTTTTATGACACTGGAATATCTCCGGAAGGAGGGAATTTCAATTTCTGCAGTGTCACAGCGCTCCATAAGAGCCATATTGTGTAGTTCAAGTGCTTCTTTGGATATTTTGTTATAAAAACCTAATTTTTATCTTAATTTAATGCTAATTTGTTTCTTCAGAACAGAATTTTGACGATCTGTTGCTGTTTGCTCTCCACAGATTCTTCTGCCTAATCCTTCTTTAGATCCTGGGCTGCAGCCAGAGGAAATCTGGACCATCCTACGGAGCAGAGGTAGGCTGTGACTTCGGAATATCTCCTGAAATATATCCACAAAGCCAGGATTTGATAAGCAGATCTTAAGTGCTTATTAATACTTTAATACATTAACACAGCGTGGTTAAATTCACAATAAAACTCACAATTCCCAAAATTCCGTTGTTCGCTTGGTTGGCAAAACCATCTCCACCAGAAAAGGAAAAAACCCAAACCAATCCCAAAAACCCTGGGAGAAGAGGGGAATTCCTAGATTTCTCTGCTGAGCACCACTGTCAGCCTGGCCAGGGTGTGCCTGGAAATTTGGAGGGAATGCCTTTGGCTCTGGTTTGGCAGGAGCCTCCACTCCAGCTTGTTTGTCCTGCTGGGAATTTGCATGGGAGGAGTGAGGTTGTGATTTTTAATATCTGAACCAGGCTCCAGGGTCACTGGAATTTGCCACAGTTCCCCGTGTTTGTCTGGAGGTGTGGAAAATCTAAACACCAACCTGAGCAAAATGTTCAGTTCTTCTCTCTAAAGCCTTGGCAGAGCACCCAGGGGGCCCCAAATAAATGTATTTTAAATGTATTTTAAAATAAATGTATTTTTGGGTGATTGCATCTCATCCCTCTGAACTTTCCACCTTGCCCTTCTCCAAAACATCTGTGCCATCCCCAGGCGTCTTCCGGAGCATTCCCTTGGGACACACTTAAAAAGAAATAAATTGAATTCACACTTAAAATTTTTAATGCTGTGCCAGTGCAAAGTGCACTTAAAATTCAGATGACGTAGCTTGTCTGAAGTTAAATTTATTTATCTCAGGTAAGGGATTGGTTGTTGTTGTTAAAACTGAGATTTCTCTGCGTTTTGCTTCCTTAATGCTGTTTATTCCAGATTGTTTCAAGTTGGATCTAAAGGACCTCAGTCCCCATGTTGATTTTTGGGAATCCTTTCAAGGAATTTTAAAGATTCCCATTGCTTGGGTGAAGGAAATAAAGTGAATTTGAATTTTTCTTTGGCAGTGCAAGCCCTCTATGAGGGATTCTGGCCAGCAGAAGGCACCACCAGCTCAGCTTTGCGCCGCTCCGCAGCTCGCCGGCGTTCCCGGCTGGATTTCCACGCTTCCAGCAGGATTTCGCAGGAAATTTATCATCCTGCACCTCAGATCCTCACGATTCCCACTAAATAATGTGTGTTCCCTCTCTTCCCCAGGCCTGAGGAGTCTGGATTTCCATGTGCAGTGACACCCAGGATGGGGCTGTTCCGGCACGCGCTGGCCGGAGCCGTTCTCCCGTTTCTGATCCTTTCAGGAAATTTGGTTTCAGCGGAGAAGGAGAACATCAACTTTCACAACGTCAGGCCTCCACTGGACCGTAAGTAGCGTTTTTATGGAATTCTGGCCTTTTCTGTATGGAATTCTAGCTTGAAATTTGAATGATTTGCCCCGTCCTTCCAGCCCCCTGGGTTTGTCTCCACAGAAACTTTAAAATAAATATTCTGCTCCTCAACAGCATTTTATCCTTAATATGTGACAAGTTGACTAAATGAAAATAAATCACCAGCATGGCCAAATTAAAGGGTGCACGAGGACTTTGACATTTTAAGGGCTTTTCTTATATTTTTTTCTGTCTCCCTGTAGAGGAAATTATGCAGCGGTTTCCTTGTAAATAATCCAGAGCAGGTGGTTTTGGGCTTTTATCTTGTTGGGGGTTTTGTAAGAGGAGGAATAGGTGTTGCTGTATACAATTAATTCAGTCTGAAGGTAATTAAAAACCTCGTGGGACCTGTGAAGCCAGTTGGCACTAATGGCATCTTTTTTCTTTATCTGGCATCACCAGTGTTCCATCCCTTCATTTGCATAATCTGCATCATTAAACCAGCCAGGATATAATAGCTGGATAGAATATCTGCCCCTAATGAACCCTGCAGCTTCCAATAAGTCATTTAAATAATGGAAATAAGATTTTAAAGGAGTCCTCTGGATCCTTTTGTTTAAAGGATCCAACTTCTCATTCCGAGTGGGAGATCAAGCTCTGGAACTGCTTTGGAAATGCAGTTTTGCCATCAAAGGAAAATGCAGATTTGTGTTTGCTGTTCAAACCCCCATGAGGAGGGAGATAAACTCTTCCCTCTTTCCTGCTTTTCCCACCACTACCTCTGTTATGGATTATGAGAGTCAAAACATGAGGATGTATTTAAAGTTCAAGCCTAGAGAGGAAAAAAAAAGAAAAATCTTTCTGCAAAGCTTGTTTTATTTGTCTGACAGTGAAAAGATATAAATATATAGAATTTATATTTTAAATCTTTTAAATTTTTTAAATTTTTTTTTAAATTTTATATACACATGCGTGTACAAGCATAATATTAAATATTTTAATTTTTTTTTCCTCAGTACTTTCAAGCTGACTGTATTTTAATACTTTTTTAATACTTTCCAAGCCACTCCATTCCCAAACAGTTTCAAGTGCTTTACCTGTGACAACGCGGTGGACAACTACAACTGCAACAGATGGGCTGAAGATAGGTGGTGTCCTGAAAGTGAGTAAGGCTGGACTAAGGAGATCCTTGGTGATATTTAAACTTGTTTTTCCCTGACTCACCCCCTTGGAGAAGTCTGGCTGATTCATGGGATTAATGTGCCAGCATTAATCACTTTGGGTATTGGGAATGCTGAGCCAGATAATTTCTGCTGATGTGACAATTTTGGCTATTCCAGAGTGAAAAATTATTTATCTCTATCTTTCTCTGTTTTATATAATATCTGACAATAAAATTTAATTTAATATTTAATTAATATTAATTTAATTAATATTTAAAATATTAAAAATTACTATACAACATATTTTTTAATAATTCATCAATATTAATTTCCTATACATGCTTCTCTGTGTACATATCTAATTATGTGCTTCCCAAGAGTTAATTTTAATTTTGTTTAAAAAACCTGAAGAATTTTCTCTGTAGAAAATTCTTTCTCTTTATTCTCTTCAAAGTGTAAACAACAGTGTAAAAACTATTTATCTCCATGTCTCTCAGCTTTATATAATATAGAACAATAAAATATTAATATACAGATTTCTGATTAATATCTCAATATTAATTAATTTTTAAATTTTAAAACTATTAATTTAATTTATTAATTAACTATATGTGTATATATATCTAATATATATATGTGTATATATCTAATATATATCTAATGTTGTGCTTCCCAGGAGTTAATTTAAAGATGTTTAAAAAACCTGAAGGATTTCCTCCGTAGCTTTATTCCCTTCCCTTTGGATAGCATCCCAAAATTTAATGGCTCTTTGTGAGCAGCAGGACCTGACTGATCACACCTGTGCTGAGGAGGGTGAAACATAGAAAAGAATGGAAATGTTTCCTCATTTTTCTTCCCGAGGACATTCACAGGAATGGTGGGAAAGGGGAAGAAGCAAAATAGAGGAATGAGGAAACAAATCTGAAATATGCTGCCAAACGGAGAAGTGTGTGGATGATGGTGCTAATTAGTAATTTAAATAAAAACAGCCTTTCTGGAGGTTTGAAGGGTCAGCTAAGATTTCACACTAATTAATTTCTTGCTAAATGCTCTTTTGATCAAGTTGCAAATAGTTCCATAGAGCCATTTTCTGGGAGTATTTTCCTTAATTGCGTGTAGTTTCGGAACCTGTTCCAATGGTTTAATTTATGGAATAAACATCCCGGTTTTCCCTCTGCAGGCACTCGGTACTGCCTGACGGTTCATCTCTTCACAGCCCACGGGGAGAGCACCTCAGTCACCAAGAAATGCGCCACCGGTGAGGAGTGTCACCTGGTGGGGTGCCACCGCCGTGGGGACGGCGGCCACACGGTGAGCGCCGCTCCTGCTGCTCCTGCTCTACTCCTGTCCTACTCCTGCTCTGCTCCTGCTCTGTTCCTGCTCTGCTCCTGCTCTGTTCCTGCTCTACTTCTATCCTACTCCTGTCCTACTCCTACTCTGCTCCTGTCC